TTTCTTGTTTTTTGTACGACAATAATTCAAAAGCAAGTTTTAAAAATAAAGATCCTATAATTAGAGTTTCCAACAATTACGGATAGATTGTCGATTATTATTTAAATTTAAAATGAAGAAAATTCGCTAGATGTACTTAAATTTGCAGCAACTTTCGGACAATCTGTAATTTCGAAAAGAACTTGCTACGAGTTCACAAATGAAAATGACATTTTCAGCTCATCAAATTTCAATTTTGTGGTTGCAATTCTGTGGGCTGAATAGCGACCAATAGGATACATTTTACGAATAGTTCATCAGGTAATAATTTTCGACCTACGGTTAATAGGCAAGCAAGGTTTCGAAAAGGTTTATTATATGGTAAATATTTTTTTTATTCCGTTATACTCCCTGTACATTTTTTCAACACTCCTTCGTTATTTCAAGTTTATAAGTCTTTTAGTTTGTGCGCAACAAAAAAAACGAGACGTAATGTTATATGTAGTTATTTCAAGTTTATAAGTCTTTTAGTTTGTGCGCAGCAAAAGAACGAAACGTAATGTTATATGTAGTAAAAAATCGCAAAAAAGCACTTAAAATTGCAAGCATTTTCGAACAAATCGGAATTTTTAAAAAAAATCTTTTTTAGTTTACTAATAAGAAATGACCCCTTTAACACGCTAAATTTCAACTCTTCAGTGCTGCATAGCGACCTGCATGAAATTTTTACTATAAGTTTAACAGTTCATTATTATCGAAGGTTGAATTGTTTTATTCCATCGTACTCATTCAATGCAGAAACAATAATCTTCACGTTTTTTTAATTACCTTATCTACATATTTATTGTCAAAGTTTGCAGTTTTTAAACATGTTCGTTCCAGTCGTGTGCATGTGATGATACTATATCTATTATTGAAGAGTAGTTATCTATAAAGATAAAATTAAAGTTGAATTTTCTTATTTTAGCAACCAGTTTAGTTTTTAAATTTTACACTAAGTTTATTCTTATGAAAAATATGTTATTGCAATAAGAAAATATCACATTTTCTGCAAAAATATAGTTGGGTGATAATATGCATATTGTTACAGCTTTATCCGGTTTATTGACACAAGCTCCAGGGATGAATTTTGTCTGGCGATACGCGTGTGATAGGCAACGGAAATATTCATGCGTGTTTCTAAACTCCGAGAAAACATTTTAGAATCAAATTATTTTTTTAAATCATTTGCTTAAATGCTTACTTTTTTTCGTAAAGTTTAAAATTCAAAATTAATTATTTCATAATAGAAACGATATACTTTTAACAATTTTTTTTCAGTTACCGCATCTTGACCTTTTTTCTTTAGAAAAGTATGTAGTTGTTTTTTATGATTATGTCTTTTTTTGCCGACAAATTTTAGATGAAGGCACATTTCGTTTTAGTATTAATTTAAAAACAGAGCACCTTAATAACTATTGACTTTTAACAATCAGCTTTCCATATACTACAAAGCGTCAATAGTCGAATGGTTGATCTTAAATATACTAATTAAATAACGAAAAGGATATAATTTACAAAATTGGACACAAAAACGTATTTTTTCTGACTGAACTCAAATGTTTTTTTTTGGGAGATTTGAATAATTGATCCTCGAAATAAAGGGAGCTGTCGCAATCTTGAAAATAGGGTATTCTGTAAAAAATTCCGGGTCAAATTACGGAATAAAGCACCAGCACTTTGCGTTCATCATCCGAAAAATCCATTTTAACGTAAAATATTATACCGTAATACTTACAGTAATATTTATATGATTAAAATATTTCTGTGATTTTACTGTTATTATTACTACAAAAATTATGGTATATAAGATTTTTTTGCTCCATTACTTGTTCCGGTAAAAATGGATGTTATGGAGAAAAAAAGTACCACTATACTGAGCGCTGGTACTTTTCACCGTAATTTGATCCGGAGTTTTTTACAGTTCACCATTATTTAAGGTATGAAAAAGTTTTATACTTTTAAAATTAATTTTAATATTTGTATATATTGCGGTATCTTTGTAATTACTTAAGCGAATCAACAAAATCTTGTTCAAAATTATCTGTTTCATCCAAAGTTAATTATACATTTTTATTCATTTATTGCTTTTTACTTGTTTATTATTTTTTTATTTATTTAATTTAACAATGGTTGAAATTTTTCGAAATTGTAAGGAGAAGAAATATTTTATGATTTTAAACTGTGTAGTTTTTAGAAAGAAAATCCAAAATTTGAAAAGAATTAATTTAAAAAATCTCGAGAAATTAAGTTCCATTGCTTGCATATATAAATCGAAATTATTATTAAGAGGCGGAAAATTTCAACTGCTCTCCCGATATATTAAGGAGATCATATTTTTCAGATTGCGTGTATACCCTCCCCTTATTTTGGGGTCAAATATCCTAATCCGCTGAAAAGGGGCTTAATCCAGAAAAAACACCTTTTCCTGTCCAATTTCGTAGCTTAAAACATTGTCTGTTCCAATTTATTAGCGTATTTAAGGCTATTCTCTAAAGCCATTACAATTGCATTTTAGAATGTGAAAATCTGATGATTCGATCAAACATCATTTACGTGTTTCTTTTTTTAGTTTGCTTAGTTCATTATGCATGTGTATACGCAAAACATTTAAAACAACTAATGAATATATTGCCATATTCCTTAAAAAATTAATCATTCGTTCACCGTAATCGGAATAAATTTTTTCTTTTAATAAATTTTAAATCGGTTCACTGTTAATAAAAAAGTTAGTTATTAGAGAGGGGCAAACAAAACCATCTAAAATTTAGGGCTGCTAAGTGTTTTAAAAATAAATAAACTAGTAGTCACATTTTGTCGTTATTACACTATCTTTGGTCCCGCAGTGTCCATGATCGTTAAGACACGGTTCCCACAGACCCAGCAGATGAAGTCAAGCTTCATTGGTGACCACTTGGAGTAGTCTGCGTAGGGACCGAGGGTGTGCGGTATTGGTCCTCGTTAAATTGCTCTACCGTAAAGTGCTCGACTTCGCTTGCAGGTCGTCGAAGCGGGGGTGCCATCCCCTCTGCGGAGGATCAAAATTGTGGTGGCATGTCTTCGGATCATCCTCAGGAATGTTTCGCAGACCGTCGCCAATAGTCCATTGTGCAGCTCTAGTGTGACGTAAATGAACTACAACAACAACAACTACACTATCTTTGAAGCTCCTTTTTGTAAATTTAGATGTTCTGAATCATGTATGTAGTTTTGGCACAACTTCATGATTCAAATGAGTTGAAATTAACGTCTTCTACCTATACAATTAGTAGTTTCATGTAAGTAGGTTTTTTTCTTCTTTTTATAGTTGCAACATGTTACTTAACCTTTTATAAAATTTTTAATAAATCTCTAGTCAGTGAGAATTTTATAAAGTTTCTCATGTTTTTCATCACTGTCGTGGGTGAGACAAAATGCGATTACCTACCACAAGTCTGTTCTTTTAGAAGCTCGTACTACCATTTACTACGTGCACATCACCCAGAACAGTGCAAAAATAGCCTTTTGCCTCAATAAAAACATGGTTCTCGTAAAAGAACTCTTACGACCCCCGTGCGAGAGCTTTAACCCGATTCTAAGGCGTCATTACTTCCATTTCTGTCATAAAACCTAATGCCCCAGATTTAGGGTTAAAGAGGGGCTTCAACCGCATATTCTTTAATAGGTGGAAATATTTTTCTCACTATCAGGGGTGGGGAAAGCAGGGGAAATTTTTTACAGAATAAAAAACAGATCTTAACAACATTTCTATTTCAAGCAGATTTAGCAACAAATTTGTGAACATGCAATGGAAATAAATAATCATATAAATTTTATTTAACTAAAATTCACTTGCTAAAATTTACAAGTTTTTGTAATTTTACAGGGCATAACCACGTGCCACTGTGGCTACGTCCCTGAACACCTCTACAAAAAGAGGCCTTGTATATAGACTAATTTACGAACAACTGTAGGTGTATTAGTTTATGGATCCATTAACCGGTATTTCCCACTGAGATACAACATGATCTTTAAAACATTAGCGCACTTTACAGTTTTTTCCAGCTGCGTGCGTCACTAACATGTTAAAAATTTGTTTTCATTGCTATTTTACTTTTAAACAAGAAGTGAAGAAAGTGTTTGCAGTTTATCTTGAAGCCATCCAGTTAGTGAGGATCCTAAAGCATACGAATGACTTCATTTCAGTTCGCATTGTTATGCGAGTTGAGTAAGCAGAGTCATTCGTTAGCACTTTCTCTTCCAAGAATAATGCTTCATTGGAGAACGAGATGTCAAGAGATGAATTGATGAAGGCTGAAAAAGTGGATCACAACTTTCACTTTTTTTTTCTCTTTTACGCTTCCGTTTTACTAGTTTTTTTGATTAAATACGTCAACTATCATAAAATCTACTTTATGTTTAAACATCAATTGATATAGTTTAAAAATGTTAAGGAAATTAGAAATTATATATTTTTACTGTTTCAATATTCAATATTTCTGGACATTTTCCAGCGTTAAGTAGATTACTTTAATGGGTTAAAAGTTTAAGCAGGTGATAATTCATACAATACATTATTTAACTTTAAATTTAAGAAACATTTTATGCAGGAAAAACTAAAGCAAATTTAATTAAATTAAGAATTAATTTAATTAACAAATTTAAATGAAAATCAAATCTTCACTTAAATTCCTTTAACAAAGTAATACTATGAAAGAATTCTAACTAACACAATTGATAATCTTCTTTTAGCAAATCTGTACACAAGATAGTTTACTCGTATGAGATACAATAATTATGATGCTTAAATAAACATATCATTTTTAAAAACTTAAAGTTGTTCTGATGGAAACTTACATGCACTTTATTAATTTTAAAAAAATCACGCATTTATGAAAAAAATTTTAGGTATTTAAAAAAAAAATTTAAAAAATCATGTATTTAAAAAACACTGAATTGACTAATTTGTAAAAATTAACATCGTTCTTTAATTTAACAAGATATTCGAAATCAACAGAGTACAGTTTTAATTCAGAGACCATACATACTACACAAACATGTTTTTCAATAGTAATAATTAAAAGATTAAACAGCCAAAGAGTCTTTCCGTAACTTTTCAAAACATCTTAAATTGATTAGAATCAACATGTTGAGCGACACCAGTGTTTTCAACAAATATTTTCAAGAAGTTAAACGTCTGATACCTAAAAAAACATAATTTGCATTAGTCATTTTAAAAGTTTTAAAATAAAGTATGTGATAAAATAATAAAGCTATATAGTAAAATAAAGCTAAAAATGTTTGTACTCCTTAATAGTTATCTCACTTTTTAAGTATGTCACCATATCTCTCGAGCTTTTTAATGGAATTAAAAACAAATGCAGGAACTAATTACCAAATTTAAATGTAGCTCTTCGAGTCATTGAATTTGAATCATAGTACGTAATAATCATTGAAGAGAAAATTAAGGTATTCCGTTTTTTAACTTACGCACTGCACTGTACAACTGACAGCTGCATATGTCATTTTGACTCATTTTACGTAAAACACAGTCATTGTTGTTCGATTGTGATTATTTTTGAGGTCACTTACAATTAATATTTTTGGGTTTTTAGTTTTGGGGAAAATTAGAATTAGTAAAAATATAAGATATTTTTACGGATATCTTGATTTTTGTTTGAAAAAATGGTTCTAGGATGTCTTAATGCAAAAATAATCATACTTAAAATTCAACTTTGTTGAAAATTAAATTTAATAAATTCTTTGAAAACTATTTGTAAAAAACACTTGCTTGTTAGATATTGTTTTCATAAAAGCAAATTTCAGTCCATTTCTTTAAGTTTGACATTAATTGTCTATAAGCTAAAGGAGGTAAGCAGTTTCAAGTATCTTGGAAGTATAATTAACAAAAAGGAGAAACTGAAATAGATTAAACAAAGCCCGAAGTTATTCTCAATAAATTAGGAAAGGAAAAAACATAACAAATTCAACAAAAATTAAAACATTCAATACGAATGTTAAATCTGTCCTACTATATGGATATGAGACGTGACACTGCAAAAAATAACATGTAAAAACGTTAAGTATTTAAATTAACAACTGTTTAAGAAGAACCTTGCATATCAAGTGGATCCATAAAATTTGTTATGTAGAAATTCTTAGAATGGCAAAGCAGAAACCGATTGATCCGGAAATTAAAAAACGTGAATGGAAATGGATTGGTCATTTTCTACGTAAACCTAAAAAAATTAAAGTAAAAAAGTTTTTGATTGGGCAGTAGAGAAAGAGGAAGACCTAAAAATACTTGATTACTCTTGATTGATATTTGATAAATGATTGAAAACGATAGAAAAGACCGAGATGTCAAATATCTGGCCACGAATAGAGTGGGATGGAAAGCTATGGTAGATACTCCAATTCGAAGTGAAGAGGAATATGAATGTATGCACAGTTCCTGACCGAATTATTAGACGCAATATAAGATTCTATGCAAAATCTTAATAATCGAAAGGATACTATACTGCTTTATTGTTTTTATGCCACTGAAACCGGTTTGCACTTGTTTACGTACGCTTATCAATTGGTTAAATTAGACGATACATAATGTAAATTCAACAATTGGATAAATAAGGCAATATATTATATAAATATAGAATATTTATTATATCACAGGTATTATATCAGTGTATTATAATAATTAGACCAAATTATTAGACGCACTGTGGTTTTTTAATAATTACATGTTTTGCAAGAGTTTATATGCAATACTTTTAAATTTAAACATACATGTAATGGGTTTTTAACCAGAAGCTTTTTATATACTTCCTATTTGTATCGATTTTTAACGTATTACATTACAATGTTAACCAATTGATACACGAACATAAACAAGCGTAAACTGGTTTCAGTCGCGTAAAAACAGTAAAGCTGTATAGTATCACCTGATAATTAAGATTTTACGTAAAATCTTATAGGACGCCTAATAATTTGACCAGTGACTGTATGTAATTGTCTATGCTGAATAAGTTCAGATCCTTTTTTTATCCAATTAGATCGTGGTGACTGATACACGCTAAATCTGTCAAGTCTCAAAGTCCTCCATGTTCCCATAACAAATCAATACCTCTGGAGGTACTGATCCAGGAGTTTCCTTGTCTACTGGATTGATTCAAAATGACAAGGCTACGGAGCTGAACATTAGTTGTCATAAACCAGGGCTCGAAGAAAGTCAGAAATTTTACCCGTCCCCGAGGACGGCCAGTCCAACAATGTACCCGTCCTCCTTTGAAACTAACCCGTAGCTTCTAAATAAATAAAAATATAATTTTCTCTTATTTATTACAAACATTTATATAAATTGCACAATGAATTAGTAGTTACTAGGATTACAAATACTAGGCTACTAATAGTAAAACCTAGTACTTCTTTTATGAAATAATTTATTTCTTTTATGGAATAATTTAAATGACAGAGGTCAAGTTATCTGGAATGTCAATTTATCCGAGGGTACTTCGTTTTTTAAATGAAACAAATATGACGTTTGCCTGTTCCGCAATCAAGCCAATGATTTACAGGGGTTTCTGCACAGAAATCTGAAAGGGGTTTTCCATTTAGGTGGATGTTCGTAATTGCGTTTAACGCTTCTTGTTTAAGACCAGTACGTAATGTGTTTTTTGTAAGCTCATTGCTGAAAAGCCTCTTTCAACCACTGCAGTACTCACAGACAGAGAAAACATCAATTCCACCAAGCGCAGTATGTTGCTGTGTTTCTAGATTAGAGGGTCATTTTAGAAGTGAGGCGCTAGACTCTTGTAAGATAACAAAAATTGAAAATGTATCACGAATATTAACGGGAAAATGGCCGTCCGCGCGGACGTCGGATTCGAGATATTTGTTGTCCGCAGGGAATTTTTGACCGCCGAGGACGGGCGGACGGGTGGTTTTTCGAGCCCTGTCATAAACCCAAAAATTGGGTCGGCTGTTCAACGACGGATATAAAATAAAATAAAATCACTGACATTAGTTGTTATTGCTTTACACCACAAATATAAAAATCGAACAGTGTGTCAATGTGTTAAAAACTTTGAATTTTGTTCGTTCATTAAATAATATCTGAGAAAACTTCAGAATGTAATAAATACATTAATCAAGTGGTAGTTTAGTTTTATTTGGATATCTTGATCATCTATTTAGCAAAAAATATTATTCTTACCTTCACAAGGTGATATGTTAGTCGATTACAATATATAATTGAATGAAGAATATAAAGTTATTATGAATTTTATTGTGATGTAAGTGTTAGAGAAAACATTTAAAAAAAACTAAAATTTTTTAAAGAATGTAATTTAAAAATACGTGATATTTAAATAGCTGCTATCTTAAAAATTAGAAATGTTAGAATCTAACGTCCTCTTCAACGTCATCACAACCGAAAAATGCTTCTATGATGCTTAAAATACAAGACAAGACAATAAATAAATCACAATTCCTATCATTGTTTAGAACTTTCTTGTGAAACAAAATGTATTTTTTAAATTGAATATTTACTTTTAGTTATGCACACTCGTAAATAACTTTTAGAAAATTATTCATTTAAAAATGATTCAACTGTTACTCGTAATATTATAAAAACTTACGTTTCAGAGAACTTAGCCAAAGGCATTTTTTAATATTAACCTTTGGCAAAATAGTTTAATTTTTCTTTAATAAAAATTGAAGGTACTTACACAAAGCTGATTATTTCTTGTAATAACTAAGAGGATAGCTGTAAGTTAAAGGATTTGCGTAAGTGTAGGCTATAGGAGCTGGAACTTTTTGAATGTAAGTAGTGGTTGTAACAGTAGGTGCAGGTGCCACATAGGAAATTGGAGTGGAATACCTTTTAACATAGGTAATTGGTTCAGTAATGGCATAATTAACCGGATTCACAGCGTAAATGGGCGGGCTGTAGCTATAGTATTCTGCAGCCGCGGCGTAGCTGACAAGGCAGAAAAACAGAGAAATAACCTAAATAAATGGAGTTCATTTTAGTTAATAAATAAATAAATAAGTTATTTAAATAAACTTAACCGTCAATGTATAACTTGTAACCTCTGAACTCATGAGTTGCCAAGTAGCGAAACTGTGTAAGGACCACCAAGATTTTCTTCTTCTTTTCGTTTTTATGCTGCTAAAAAATACCCTGAATAATTTTTGATCCAATTATTGGATCTTCACTTATCATGACTCAAACATAATGGTTTAAAGAGGTGCAATGGTTCCAAGATGTTAACTAATTAGCACAGATGTTGTTATAAGTTACGAAATCAGACACGAAAACGTACTTTCTCTGGATAAACATGCCTTTTCCTTCGACGGATTTGAATTTTTGACTCCCAAGAAATAGGGATTGGCCGAATTCTGGAAAGCGATCGAAGTTTGGACCCCTTAATGTTAATTTTACTTTTTGCGTATTTTTTCATTTTTGTCAAGAACTTTTGAAACAAATTAAAAAAATTTACACACCATTATAAATTGTTTTATTTGAAAATAATTCCATGCGAAAAATTAATATCGTGCTTTTTAATGTTCTCATAGAGCCAGAAACACGATAAATGTTACCATATTATGGTAGTTTTGACTATACTTTTTTTCTCAGTGTATGAGCAGACTTATAGAAAGGTAAAATTCCCATTTTCTTTAATATAAACATCCTTCATGAAACGACATAACATACCAAAATTTAGAGCAATTACAAAAAGTAGCTACATCAGAAATGATCTTACCAAATGCCTCATGCTAAAAAAACTTCGGTTTCCAAAAGCTACTGGATTAAAAAAGCAAAAACCCTGTGATGTGTTTGCCTACTTAAATACAAAAATGACAACGCATTGGAGTTTAAATACTTGTTCAAACCTTGGTCTTATCAAATTATGGATATACATTTTTTTAAATTGAATTCAGTCATTTAAATTTCTATTCAAGTACTTTCCAAATGCCCGATTGTTTAGAGTCTTTAAGAAGTTCTATTTATTCTCAACACAATAGCAAATCTTGAAGAATAAGTTTTTATCACAACGTTATTTAAATTAGAATTGTAAACAAACTATGAATTATAATGTCTGACAATTTACTCTTAAAGTAATAAAGATTGCATTTGAGATGTTTGTGATCTCTGTTCATTTATTATTATAGCTCATAACAAGTTTTCGCAACGTTTTAAAAATACCATTAGATAATTGAGTAAATCGACATGCAAAAGAAACCCCGTTTCTTTTATTTTACTTTAATGCTTGTGTGCGTGAAAAAAATATCCATCTATCTTATAAGCATTTAGAAATGTTATCAACATTGTTAGAAATTTCTCGGAAAAATTGTTATAGAACAATTTATTTAATTGTTCTTTTACAGTATTCAGTCAAAACAGACAATTAACCATAAATAAGATGGCATTCAAACTGTTAATTGTGAGAAAAACTGATTATTATCTGCTTTCACTGAATACAGTTATATAACCGTAATTTTATTTCACCTACTAAGCCTACCTGATGAAGCCACTTAATTCCTTGAAGATAGGTACATATTATAGCTGAGAGGGCTAGTCTGACAAACTCATGAGTGGCAGAACGGGATTTCGAGTCCCAGTGTTAGCACCACAATATTTTCTCTACCACTATATTAGTCCCTGCCTTCAACACATGAAGAGCTTCCAGAGTCCTGCACTCCCCAATTCGAAACCCAGGGTTATTAGAATATGGTACCCTCATTCACGAATAGATGGCAGCACCATAAAGTTGCTAAACTATCTCCAATGGCAAGCTAAATTTCTTTTTTTACGGTTTTAAAACTATGCTAGTTGTAAATGGTTAAAAAAACGTAAAAGTAAGAAATGTTCGTTACCGTACACTTTACGGTTAGTTGTAAGGGCAGACTGATTCTGATTATTTTACCATCATTCTAGAATGAAAATGAACTTATTCAAAAAATAATTTCAATGTATTACACTGGGGAGCAAATTTTTTATCGCATTTATTCGAACACTTGATTCCGCCTAGTTCGGAAGTGAGGATTTCAAATTTGAAATTAGTTTTGTTTCTAAAGTTACAATTTCTGAAAGCGATATTTTTGGTTTATTTTTGTCGAAATGTACAAGCTTAAAAGCATTATATGTATCAAGAGGTCGCATAAAGGTTGCGACAAACTTCTAGGAGAGTTCAAGCTCATCCTCAGGTTTAAAACTGCATAGGAAACTATGTCCGGATATGATGTCGTAGGCGGCTATCAGCGCTTCCTTATTATGACCTGTTCAGAAGCACATGAATTTGTTTATAATTTAACAGAATTCATATTCAAACAGTTCATAAAACAGCGGCGCTAATGGCGTATGATGACATTTCTAACCGCAGATTTCTATGCAATTTTAATCTTGATTGTGCTTTAACTCCTCTAGAAGTTTGTATTAATATTTATGCAACCCCCAGATATGTATAACGATTTTAAACTTGTACATTTCGACAAAAAATAGACTAAAAATGTCTTTAAAAAAACTGTAGCTAGGAGAGAAAAACCAATTACAGATCTGAAATCGGCATTACAAAAGCATCTAAGATCTGTAAAAAAAAATCTCATGCAATAGAAAATTTGAAAAAAAAAATCGATGGTTCCCTATTGTTATTGGTAGTGTTTAATAGGTAATTAATTAAATATCTATAAAATTTATATATCTTGATTGTTCCGGTTGAAAAGGATATGAACTTTTATTAGCGATCATCATTTAATATTGTTTTGAGGAATAGCGTATCTATATGGGTACCGTTAAAGTATATGAATTTTGATATAACGAATGAATAAAGAAGTAAAAAAACAAGAAGAGAAAGAAGTCCGTGAGTAAACGGATCAATAAATTAGCATGCTATGAAATCAGTCATGAGCGTTTAATGACAGAGTGACATATTGAAAACATATTTACTTTCAAAAACATTTATTTATTCTATAGAGATTTACATAAATTACAATCAAATCCCGTCAGCTAGTACCTTAAAAGCGCATATAGTAAAACAACTCATAGTTATATTTTGTTTTGCAATAAAAAATTTTCTGTTTTGAATATTTTAAATCCTGAAATTAACTATATAAAGTTATGTTTCCCTTATGTCAAAACTTGAAGCTATACTCTATTTTTTAACGAGGGGCATTTTCATAAGTGAAAATATGTTTAGAAAACTTTTCCTTGAAACTAAAGATTCAAATTACTACTTTCAAAATTTTCAGATATTGAAATATTTCTTGTCTATAAAACTTAAAATATCTGCACACTTTTTGATTTGAAACATAAATTTAAAAAATTAATATTAACTAGAATGTGTATTGTGTTCCCCTCTGTCACCAATGTTCAAAATATTTCAAGAAATTAAGTTGCCTGAAAGATAAACAAGCAAACAATTAACACTCTAGTTAAAACAATTTACACTCTATTCAAATTTATACTGCTGAGATTATCTTGGAAACACATAGGGCTGCTAACATTAGCACTGCTAAAATTTACGCTGTTAAAATTGCTTTTTGTAAAATTGTATAGGGAAACAAAGCTTAATAAATGGTAAGCAACAGTGGATAAGGTGGACAATATGTAGAGCTAAATTTTATTGTTATTGCACTGTTAATTACTGAGTTTCAGTCAGAGTTGGGCAAAAATGTAATCAATTACATTTTTCGATTACAGTTATCAATTACTTGTAATCATAATTACAAGATAACATAATTTCAATTGCAGCTATAATCGTGACTACAACAAATAATTACCGTCATCTATTACTTGTAATCGTGATTGCAACTTTAATTGCAGCTGTAATCGGTGTTACAATAGTCGATTACAATAATCAATTGCTTGTAGCCGTGATTACAACCTTTTAAAAATATTGATTACAGCTGTAATCATGATTACAATAATTGATTACAGTCATCAATTGCTTGTAATATTTATTACAATTCACCAAAATGTTTATTACGACTGTAATCGTGATTTCAAGTAATTGCGATTCCAAGTAACCGCAACAAAAATGATTACGGGTAATTATGATTACAAGCAATCAAAATATATGATTACATGTAATCAAAATATATGATTACATGTAATCATGATTACATATAATCGTGATTACAAGTAATTGTGATTACTTGTAATCAAACTATACGATTACAAGTAATTACGATTGCATACTATATGCAAATACATTATGTAAGTGCGTTTAGGGTACATGTTTTCATGTACATCGAATGTAAGCACGCATGTGCGTACAATTTGTGTTTCCTATTTATACAAATACATGTTTTAATCATATAAATATTGATACCTATATTTCTTTTAATAACTTTAATATTTAATGAAACATTAAATTAAAAGTCAGTAAATAAAGTTTGGATGAGCATGGTAACAGAATGGAAGAATAAGATAGTGGGAGAAAGAAACTGCAAGTCACGTGGGCAGGTTCAGTTGAAATGAAGAAGCGTTTGCATGGAACTGAAATTTAATCTTACCGTAAAAAAATCAAGTGAACACTAAAACAATTTGGCTACTAAGGGAAAAAATTCTTAACCTGTTCGAAGCTTTATTTTCATACAATATAGTGACAATTTTTAAAATGGCTACCTTATCTAAAAATAGTACATTCAGGAAGACACGTGATCCATTTTCGCTAACTCAAACGAGATAATTTAATAATGGTAACAGTGTTAAATAAGTAGAGTGGAAACTATCCGGGGACAACATTAACATATTTGATTGTTATTCAAAAGTAATACTAAAGCTGTGTTGCACATATAACTCATTTTACCCACCTAGATAAATTAAAATTATTTTCAATTTGATAGTTGGTTTAATTGCAGTAAGGGCTGGGCATAGAAATTCAGCTGTATTTGACCTATTAAAAGGGTATTACACACACAATTCCTATGCATCCATATTTAGTAAAGGCATATAGTAAATTAATTTGAGAGCTACAAAAATTATTTGGAATTTTATTTCAGTAATTAAAATTATTCAAAAGCATGGGACATCAAAAATACAAGTTTTTTGAAAATTAACCATGATCCCTCTTTTTTTTTATTAAAAAGCAATATTGCTAAGTAATAAAGAGATCACAATTTCTGAGAAAACAACATTATTAAATATTATCTTTTTTTAGAATTGTTTTCTTTTTTTCAACTTCGAACGATGCAAGGAAACAGTGCGGTAGTACATAGCCTAATGTGCGACCCCTGCAAAATTTTCAGGAGATGCATCTTTGGCTATGCATCCTTTTGGAAATGTGCCTTTTCGGAAAAAATCATATTTAAGAACTTAAGTTTTTTAGTAAAAATATCTAAAATGAAAATAAATAACTGAATAATATCTCTTTTTATATTTTTTAAACTAACCTATATTGTCTTTAGATTATTACCTGCCTTACAAAGGTAAAATTAATTTTAAAGTGTTGGTAATAAGCCAGATATTTATTTATTATTTTTTTGCATCGTGAAGAATTTATCAACACATCATTAACGTAATTTTTTGAAGGAAAAGCGAAATATTTTTATTTTTATTTGTATAGAATTTTAATTTACGGGAATTCTATGCTTGTTAATAGTTAAGTATTAAAAATTAAATCTGAATAAATTAAATTCACAATTTCTTTTTAAGAAAATCGTAAGTTAATTCGGGAGCGAAATTTTAATTTTCTGCTTAAAGTTTATAGCTGATAATCTGAATAATCTGAATAAATAGCTTTGTACCCAGGAAAAAACTGAACTTCATACATTTTTCTTAAATAATTATATTTCTTGACAAAGTTATTAATCGTAATTAAATAGTCTATAGGCAGACTTTTTTACATA